TGCCTATAGTGGTCCTTTAACCGAAGCCTGCCAGCCTAAATCTGGACTAGGTTAGGTCATAGATCGTAAAACAATAGCTATGTATTTTTGAACAGAATTGCTCCAGATGTACAGATATAGTACTAAGGCCGTTTGAACTTTTCCCTGTCTGCTTTCAGAGACACTTTATTTACACAACGACAAAATTAAATGGACATTTTATCTTTTGGTGTTTATCAAAGCGGAAATATTTTTATACATAGCTTTTATTCCTTTTATATTTCTATTATTTTCTGAATCACAGAATATTGCTTTTTACAGTGAAAAAACCCCAAACAGATATGAACAAATCACATGTTGTGTTAACACATGACAAACGTGAAAGAACACATTTTAATATATGTGTAACAAGGATTTCAGCAGGTTAATGATTCAGCCCATAAAGTTATCACCTCACTTCATTGTCACTACATGTGCTTATATGTACCTCGACCTCAGTAATTTATAGTCATATTTCATATCTACTGATTTATATGTCTGATGCATACTTGGTTGAGGTACCACTGGGATGTAGTCTTGTAGCTTTTTCCTTTTATTATATTACATGTGATTTTGACAAGGATTTGGAAGAGGCCTTCCCCTTTTACTTGGGATAGGGTCTGGGCAATATTCCTCTCCTACAGAGGATTCTGTAATGAACGAGTCTGATAAAATATGGCATTAGCAGGATCATATAGAGATCGTTCATATTGGCCAGTTGTGTGGCTACTGTCCAAAGTCCACAATCCCAGAGAAGTTTTGGATGTTAGTGAATGACATGAAAATAATGCATACAAGAAGGTGTGTATATGTTAGAAATAAAAGTGTTTCAATTGACATTATTTGGAGAGTATAAGAAATGGATAGGGTGCTATCTCATTCACTTTTAAACTGTGAATTGCACAGTGATTGGGATTTTAATGTAGAATGTAAATCATAGTAGTGCTTTACTACACACAGTAGAAATAACGTATTGAGGCAAGAAGGAAGGAGCTGTTTTCCGAAGAAAGTGTAGCCATGGTAGCTATGACAGTAGTACTGATGTAATTTTTTTATCTATGATGTCTATATATTATTATTACATATGATATAATATCAGGAGAAGAGGTTTAATTTTATTGGTGTAACTGCTCCCTAGCCAGAATATATATAATTGGGAAAATTGAACACAGCCTAAAAGTGTAGCTGACATATTCCGTTAAGTGGGTAATTTGCAACAGAATTTGAAGTCAGAATTCTAGAAGATTTAAATGACTCTAGACTCTTGGAGAATAATATCAAGAGCTCAGTATTTTGTGGGGTTGATGTTGTATAACAATGTCCTATAGTGAGTTATAGGAAAGTCGAAAGGTAAAGATAGACCAATTTAATAGTCTTGGAAGACAGGGATTTTAGAGTCATGGCAAAAAGTAGTTTTGAAGAGCTTGTCACTGTTGGGTGCCTTTAAGGATAGAGAAAGAGTGAGATGTGGAGCCAATAGGAGAGACTTTGTGAAGGGGACTGACAGAGGGTTTGAATACATTGTGGGCTGATCCCAAACTTTTTGAAAACAGGAACACCTTGGTCAATCATATTCTCTACATTCAGGAAGAGAAGACAAAACTGAACTAGGAAACAAAAGTATGGTACAGCACCTGCCACAGAGGGTATATAGGAGCCTAGCTTTGCACATTAAACAGGTTTTAGTAATAAGTTACAAACAATATCCCCTACCTACATGAAAACAAAGGATGGTGAACATGCTGCTTTCTCCCCATTTACCGCACTCATGGGATTCAGGTGGGGAGGTATTAATGGCATAAGGTGGGAGAACATGTCATTGTACATTCCCCTAAATGTTTTGGCCAAATTAGCAATGCTCATCGGGGGTTGGACAATGACATATCCAAACCCATAATGTAATTCATACTGGCACCTGAAACCCACGGGTGGAGAGGTAGGGGTATTGAACTTCTTGCTTTTTTTTTTTTCAATGTCTTAAGTTTTTATTGAGTTGTTTTTTCGTTTTCTTTTCATAATCATCAGATCAGAAAAAACACAAGGGGGACGGGGGGGGGTACAGAAAACAAAAGGGGAGGGGAAGCGGGTAGTATATAGATCCATACAGGTTACTTGACAGCGCAGGTCAAAGATTACGTTTCAAAGTCAAAGTACAGAATCAAAGTACAGAATTCGAGGTACAAAATGCACATATGAGATGCAAGATACATATATTGCATGTATATTAG